GGGCTCAAGCAATCCACTCACCTCGGCCTCCCAAAGTGCTGGGATTACAAGCTGAGCCACCGAGCCTGGCCAAAGTAAGATTTTTTTACATGACAGAAACAGAAAAAGTGTCTTCTCTATAATACTGTTTTTAGGACATATGGCTTTGAAATTATCTTGGTTATATACACAATATTTTGCCTTGTAATTGTCCTTGTCATCGTGTAAGTTTTACCTATAGAGGTCCAAAATCCTTCACTTCAATCCAAAATCCAAAAAGTTGTGAAAAAAAAGTTTTTCATTATTCATTTTGTGGCCAAACCTGACAAGAAATTACATGAGGCTGTTGATACTACAGTATTTATTTATCCCAGTTAGTGTAAACATTTCAGACATTTTACTACAGAAATAGTAATGTGTTTGCTTAAGAGGTGCTGCCCCAGACCTCTCTGGAGGTACTACAAAACACAGAGTACACATACCATATTTCTTTTCTAAAATCCAAAAATTTCTAAAATAAGATACACATCTGGCCCCGATAACATTTTTTTTTTTTTTGGCACCAAGAATTTTGAGTAAGGTGCTATGAACTGGTATACTAAGTCTAAAACTTATACAGAAAATATAAGTAATATTGAGAATGAAGGTAGATCTTCATATGCAATAAATTCAATGTCTCAACAACTATCACATACACACAATCCTGGAAAATAAAGCATTAAGAAGACTTTTAACATATGTAAAAACCAAACACACCAAGATGTGTTTTTCAAGTGATGGTGACATCAGCACCCTTCAATATCTAAATCAATTCCTTAGGTTTAAATCAAAGTTAAAATATAGCCAAAGGCTGCATTGGTGACTATGTTAAGAAAAAGAATCAGCCATTGATAAATAACTTACTCAGCAACATGTTCTGATGTTTTAAAAACTTATCTCAGGATGTAAGATTTAAAATTATTTCATTCTCAAAGACAATTTTGCACAAATCACAATTGACTGCTGTGAAAGCAGTGCCTGGGGACAGCTCTTAAAGATATTTGAACAGGAAGAAGAGTTTCACAGTTCTTTCCTTCCTTCCTCCTTTAGTTGCTGCTTTTCTGGTTTTAGAGTTTCAAACAAAGAAATACACATTGGCTCCACTGCTGAGAAACGCCCTCTTTCTCAGCAACTTCCTCTTCCAATTTTCTTCCCCACCATTGACATATGAGAACAATACCCACGGCAGGTCCTACCATTTTGATTAACCAAAAGCTCTGAGGTTTGGAAAAACTAAAGGCTGCAATTTACAGTACTCAACTACCGCCTACCCCAAGTCCACAATCTTCACTCATTACAAGTCAGATAGCAGGAACACAAAGAAAGGAATATTAAGCATAATCATAGGCAGGCTATTGAACTATTCACCCCAAAGAATCCAAAGAAATCTGAACTAACAACTGGGAAATAGCTCTCATCCCAAGAAAAAGTGGCCTTCTTAGGGAGGAAAAAAGTTACTGGGTTAGCAACACCCTGAACCAAAAGTCAAGTCTATACACCAATGGCTGGTGAACTTTCTTCAACAGGCCACCCAACCAGGATTCAAATGGAGCTCTGTGAGGCTCTCACTTCAAAATGGCTCTTACAACTTAGAAATAATCCTTTCCAACTCACAGAATGAACAAAAGGGCTGAACTTATAATTAACCATCCATAGATCAAGACTTTATCTTCAGGCCTGAGTCAAATCAACTGTCTGGGGCCAGATTTCTCCCCCAATTTGTGACAAGGCAAACTTCCTTACTGCTATCTTTTAATAACTCGTATAGTGGTGACTTTCCTCTAGTTCAGCAACTCTCGGGAAACTTAGTTTGGTAAGCTCTGCACTTTACCGTGTGACCTTGGCCAAACTACTAAACTTCTCTGAAACCTAATTTCTTTATGTGTAAATTCTCAAGGGTCGCTATAAAAATTAAACAGGAGCATATGCCTAAGCAAGGCTTGGCACATAGTAGGTGGGCCATAAATGTTCTTCCTCTTCCTCCTACCCTTGACTTCGGGGCCTAAATTCCAATCATAGCCTCAGGAGGCTCCAAGGAGTCTTTCCTCTTCTCTGATTCTAGGGACAACTCAGAGGCTCTAGGATTACTGAAGGACCCCACGTCATCCCCATCAGGATCTGGACAGATGACCCTTCTTGGAAAAGCCCCTTTAGACAACTCGCCCCCTTGTTGGGCAGACCCTTCTGTACACACACACACCGTGTCCTCCCCACCGCTCAGCAGGCCAGGGGCCTCAACAAGCACCTCAATACTTCACGGTCCAGAGATGGAAACTGAGGCTCGGCCTGGGAAAGAACTTGCTCAAGATTTCTGACAACAGCTGGGAAAAAGACACAATATACATCTGCCGACAAGGCCTTCGTTTTACAAACGGGGAAACTAAGGCCTAAAGAGGAAAATGACTCGCCCAAGATCGCACAGCGAGCTGGGGGCAGAACCAGGTCAGGTTGGGACACTTTCGTAGCCTCACAGACTTGCGGGCCCCTCCAAGTCTCCGAGAGGGACTCTGGGTCACCCTCTCCCTGAAGGGGTGGGGTGGACTCGGACGCCACCTCGCGCTGACCGCTCGCCCGGACTCTAGCCGTCAGGGGCGCGGCACCCACTCCCCCGGGACCCTGCGCGGCTCGGGAGGAGCGGCCCGACCGGGGCCCGCGCCGACCGGCGGGGGTCTGCCCAAAAAGACTTGTTGCTCACCTGGCCTCCCGCAGTCGCCCTCAGCGACAGGAAGGGCCGGCCGGCCGCCCAGTCTCCGCACGGGGTCTGCTCCTGCGGACCGCCTCGCGGGCTGCCACACGGCCGGACCCCCCTCAACGCGCTACGCCCCCAGCCGCGCTCTCCCGGCCTGTGTCCGCCATTACGCGATTCCCCGCCCTGAGACGCGGCCACACCCCGCCAGTGGCCCTGATTGGCTCCCAGCCCCACCCACCCGGAGCTCCCGGGCATTCCATTGGCCTGAGTGAAATGCCAGTTAAGTAAATACGCAAAAGACGTGCTCAAGGGTACTGTCCCGGGAGCTCCACCCGGGCGACTTCCGCAATCGGAGTAAACAGCGGGGTGCAAACCAAGTGAAGTGGGGGTGAAGATTAAGGCACAGCAACTCCTCAATCCAGACTAGGAAAAGCTCACCTAAGAAAGTGTAAAAACTCGTACAAAGTGCGTTGAAGGGCGAATTTGTCTTGTTAGAGTTCAAAGAATCACTTCTTTTGGTGGAAGGAAGGAGCCAAGCCCATAAACTTTCTGCGGACACCCCTCAAGTGGCAGATAATGTTGTCCCTTCACTCTCGGTCTCAGCCCCGGCGGAAAGTAGGGTGGGGAGAATGAGTCACAGGCTCCAGCCAGCACTACAGGATCCATCCGGGCGAGGCCCAGATCCTGGGACTGGGGGCCGATCCCGAAAGGCTATGGTGAAGTGAGGAGGACCGTGGTTCAACCACCACCTCACTCTGCGACTTCTCCCTGAACCTAACCGGGTCTCAGTTTGCCCTTCTGCAAAATAGAACCAGCCATCTCAGCTTCAGGTCCTGGGGCGGTTGTTAAGGACTCATGCATGAGTGGGCACTTGCTCCTCTTGTTGACAAAAGGCTGCAGCCGGAGACCAATGTGACAAATTCACAAGTTAGCAAAGATCTATCTAGTTCTCTAGAACAACTTCATAAGGCAACTCTCTTCGTTTTGCAGAAGAGAAAACAGTCTCCGTGACGTTGCATGACTTACCCAGGGTCACCCAGGGAATTTGAAAGAAACCTGGGACTCAAGGCGATATCTTTTTTTTTTTTTTGAGTTGGAGTCTCACTCTGTCACCCAGGCTGGAGGGCAGTGGC